TTTTGCATGGGAAATGATGAGGAATTCAAGTTGGACTCAACTTTATGTACACAATAGAAGTTTTGATATTTTTAAATGCTGTCACTATCCAGACTACTAACATATATTCTCATTCTCTCCCCAAATAGATTTCTGGGGAGCTTTCTCTGACTTCTTTAGAAGCAACATCCAATAGAATTATAATGTGAGGCATACATGTAATTTTAAATGTTCTAGAAACTATAGTAAAGGATAAACAAGTGAAAGTAATTTAATTGCATAGTTTATTTAAATATATACATCAGAAACATTACTGTTTCAAAGTAGAATCAAAATTTAAAAATATAGAGATAGTTTTGTATTCTTTTTTGTGCTAAGTCTTCAAAATCTGGTGTGTATTTACACTTACAGAACATCTCAATTCAGACTATTTCAAGTGCTCAATGGACCCATGTAGCTAGTGGCTACTTTATTGGATAGCACAGTCATTTTTTTTTTCTATTTACTCCATTTTCTGATGCTTAAGTGCCTATTTTCTGAGTAGTTTCAATTTTTAGAGGAGATATACATGTGTTTTTTTTTCAAAGTATCATATATAATGTGCTGTTCTGAGATCTCAGTTTTATCATATGATAGTTATGTCTTACAATAGGGAAAAATCTGAATATTCAAAGCAGATTTCTGTTTATCTTTCCTTCCAGTTAAAGTGTTTTGCCCTTGACATAGACTCACCTGTATCAGAAAACATAGCACCTAATCTCATAGTTGGCTTTCTTTTTGTTATAACAAAATAATCATGCCTTGCCTCTTCTTCTTTCTCCTTTGCTCTCCTTTTCTCATTTCTCTCTTCTTTTTCCTTCAGCACCCCCCCTTTTTAAAGATAATTGGGTAAAGACAAGGGGTTTTTAAACAAAAGTTGCAGAAAACATTTTTTTGGCAGAAATGCTTTACTGTAATTTCTGGTGTCAATTTGCCCATATCCCTTTACTGCCATCCCTCACATGGCTGTACTAAATGACTGGAGATTAATGGAATATTTTTACCTTCCAATATTAAAATGCAGCATGGTAGCCCTTAACATTTATTTTTTCCAATAATTTACAATACATGCTTCCAAATATGTGATTAATATGCAATCACATTAATTTTCATTTTATTGAATATATTTCCCTAATGATAGAACATTAAGGAGGTAACTGCATTATAAAAATGGCTATATAACAATCGAATAGTAGGAAATGTCATAAGAATATTTTGCTTTAGATGAAAGCCATATATTCATAAGCAATATATGGCTAAATGTTAAATCCTCAGGCCCTATCTTTCATGGGTCTGGACTGGGCCAAATGTCAATAAAATGCTTGAGTTCTCTTAAAAGAGGGTAATTAATTTGAATATGTTTATTGTTTTATTTCTGTCAGTAAAGATAAACTTAACAGTTGGATTATTAATCTATATTTCTGCAAAAAAAGTGAGTTTCCCCAAATGGAGCTGGACTATTTCTGCTCCTATGTTGTAATCACAAGGGCAGCAACCACAAATATCTTGATGACTGGTGGGTAGCGCAGTTCATATTGAGTTTACCTTGGGTGCATTGGCTTCTATGTAAGAAATTTTCTTTCTTTTTAATCTGAAACAGATTTAGAATCCTTTACTGGCATTCTCCAGCATGTTTGGTTAAATGAGATATTCCATGGAGTTACAAGTTTGTCAAAACATTTTCTGAACACTGGTAACAATTCTCACTGGCATTGTGTAGTGTTGTTACATCTCACATACTAAAATCAGAAAAATAAATTGTGATATTTATGTTTGTAGATGCATACATGTTTTTTGTTTTCCACCTTGCTTCAAAAACTAATTAGATGGGTGAATTGCCAAACTAATCTTTGGGAATTTGTTTCTTAAAATAAAGCCACAGAAGAATTTTCAACAGATTACCTCTTTCTGTATGATCGGTTTTAAGGAAATGCAATGCCAAATTTGGATACGGATTGGAATGTAAGGAAGAACTGAAAAAAATATATTTTCGAGCATATTTACCAATATGAAGTGATTCCTGTGAATTTTATTTGCCAGGCCATTTAACATAGAGACATGCAATGAAATTTGTTAAATGGAAGACTAGCAGCAAATCAGAGGATCTCATCCTATGTTGCTCGTCTTCAGAACTCAAAGTTAATTGAAAGATTAACTTTGAGTTCTGAAGTTCGTTCTCAGTTTTATTAGGTACAAGACAATGTATCGAATGAAAACTATGAGCTTTGAATCATGACTATAATAAAATTATAACTATGTTATAATGAATGCTTATAAATCTGAGGAAAATATTGATTTCTCAATGAGTTTGAATTAAATGTAAATTTGATGTTTACTATTTAAACATAATAAACCTACATTTTTATTGTTAAAATAACATTTAACGAATTAATAAATTCTCTGAATATGGAAATACATCATGAACACGGTGTAAAAGAAAGGTAGTTGTAGTCATATTTAAGATGTATGCAAACAACCTACCCTTTGTTACCTTATTGTATAAACCTTAAAATATAGCTGATATTCTACTGGTCAATAAACTATTCTTTGGGAATATGAAGCTCAGTTAGTTGCTCATTTCTTCATTATTTTATGATGGCCTGTATTATCTCCATAGATTTTTAAGGTAATTTTCCTGCACTTTCCCTTTTTATAAGTAGTTCTGTTTTGTATCAGAACAGAGTGGAAGTTTGGTTTACCTCTCAGTGGGGGAACTTCAGGTCTTGTACCTGAAACAAATTAGAAGTAGTTATACAGAATAAAATGAATCATTCAGAGACTGAAGTGTTTCACTTTTGATTAAACAGAAAGGCCCGAAGGATGCTAAAGAAGGGATATGTTCATGTTTGATTAAACCAATCTTTATGGAGCTTATAGTCCATCCAACACATTCCCTTGTCTCTGCCCATACACCCCTCTCCTTCCAGATCATTTGCTCAAATGCCTTCTCAGACACAACCCTTTGCTTCATCATAACCAAATACTCCTTTGCTTCACTGTTATTTCTGAAGTCCTTCTTTGCCTTTGTTTATTAATAATTATCTAGCATTCATATAAATGTATCTGGTCAATAGAGAGAGAAATATATTATTTATAGGAAATATACTCACCACGAAATTAGTACTGATTGGTCAAAACTTATGTGCACATATGGAAGTAACAGTCACCGGGTGTTGGGTATCTGGGTGCGGCGTGTGCTGTGTGAGGGATGGGCACGCTTGAAGCTCTGACTCTGGCAGTGCAAAGGCAATTTATGTAACCAAAGCGTTTTACCTCCATGATATTTTGAAAAAAAAAAAAATTAAAGATCAAATATATAATTTTCAAATTTATCTTATCACTTAATTTTGCTCATTGTTCTGTAACTCAAGAGTTGCAAATAAATAAATTAAAAAACAGTAAAGTTTAAAGTATCAGAGATCTTTCACCAAGAAATCAGAAGTGCTCAGATTAAATAAAATCTTAAAATAAATTTGCATATGAGTTCATAAATACAGTATAAACATATTGAATAAAATTTCCTCATTTCTAACATTTCATTATCCATTTTTAACATACTATCTAAAATTATCTCAACCATCTGAATACCCTATTAAATAGCATGCAAAATACTTTCCTATACTCTTCTCATTTAGTATGTAGGAATTGGCATATAGAAGTGACATTCATATCCTAGCTATTCAAATGAGAGTTAAATAATGCCATTTGATATAGTCATGTAAACTAGGATTTTCCATTGTGATTTTATCTATTTAGGAAAATTATCAGCCATTATCTCTTCAAATATGGCTTCTGCCACATTCTTTCTGAGACACATTTATGTTCGACCATCTTATTCTGTTTTCTATCCTTTTGTATCTCTGTTTCATTCCAAATATTTACTTCTGAATTATCTTAAGATTTAATAATTCTCTACCCTCTTCAAACTTGCTGTTAAAGACATCCACTTAGTTCCTTAGTTCTTATTTTGACTTACCACATTTTCAGTTCTAGAATTTCTTTTTGATTAAATCTGTTATGTTAATGGTTCCAGTTCTCTTCAAAGTTCTCAATCTTGTGTTTAATCGCTTTGAACAGATCAGCGTAGCTATTTGTCACATTATATAGAGAGATATATATGCTTTAAAACATGTATACATATATGTATATA